AAGTCTCTGTTACTATTTTTTAAATAAAACCTACTTTCTATGCATGCCTCAATGCTTTTCTCTAATGTTCAAGCCTCAATCCTTGAGGAAGCAGAACTCATCACTGATAACTGGTGGTATCCATAATAAAAAAAAAAATCCTCCGATAAAGAAAGCCCAAGACTACGTGGATTCTCAGCTGAATTCTACCAGACTTTTAAAGAACTAATACAAACACTCCACAAATTATTCCATAGAACATAAAAGGATGGAATACTTCCAAATTTATTCTATGAAGCTAGAATTACACTCATACCAAAAAAAGATTAAGGACACATCAAGCAAAAAAAAAATTATAGACCAATATACCTAATGAACTTAGATAAAAATTAATTAAAGAAATAGAAACAAGTTACATTCAACATATTAAGAGGATTATGCATTATGATCAAATTGGTTTTATCCCAGGGTAGAAAGGATATTTTGTTTAGTTTTGTTTTAATTAGTCATACATGACAGTAGAATGCATTTATGCACTTTGATATATCATACATAAATGAGATACAATTTCTTATTTTTCTGAGTATACATGTTGTAGAATCATATTGTTCCTGCAGTCTCATTTATACATTCAGTAATAATGTCTGTTTCATTCTACTATCTTTTCTATCCCCACATCCCCTCCCCTTCCCTCCCATCATTTCCCTCTACCTGACCTAAGGCAATGCTATTCTTCCCTGGTGTCCCCCACCCCCACCCCACCTTATTGTGAATTAGCATCCGCATATTAGTTAAAACATTCCACATATTAGTTAAAACATTCCGCCTTTGGTTTTGTGGGATTGGCTTATTTCACTTAGCATGATATTCCCCAACTCCAACTATTTACTGACAAACTCCATAATTTTACTTTTCTTTAAAGCTGTGTAATATTCCATTGAGTATATATACCACTTTTTCTTTATCCAGTCATATATTGAGGGACACCTAGGTTGGTTTTATAGGTTAGTTATTGTGAATTGAGCTGCTATAAACGTTGATGTGGCTGCATCACTATAGTATGCTGATTTTAAGTCCTTTGGGTATAAACCAAAAAGTGGGATAACCGGGTCAAATGGTAGCTCCATTGCCAATTTTCTGAGGAAACTTCACACTGATTTCCATAGTGGTTGTGTAAAGGTAAAATTTCCAAACTGATTCTAAGCCGCAGAGCCTGAGTTAAAGTGTAAAAGACTAGGCATCCTAAAGTTTCCAAAGTGCAGGGATTGGGTTAAAAAGTAAAAGACTAGTATTGTTAAGAGTCCCTCTGCTACCCCCAAAACCTGTAATCCCTGTAGCTGTTAAGACAATACTGGAACTGCCCAGTAAATATTTCCACTGACTTTCTGGTTGTTTAATAGCTAAGGGTTCCGAGTTGCTTGGCACGTAGGCATTGCAGGACCTAAACCAATCAGTTTGAATGTGTACCCCACCTAGGAGCACCAATCACTCCTGCCCTAATTGTTCCCGCCAGTGTATGCACTAATCCTGACTCAGGGTTGTTGTTCAATTTTCCCGCGCCTCATGATGATTTGTTCTGATGTATGCAAAGCCCCCCACCCTCTCCAAAAAGTGTACTTAAGCTCCGCTTGAACTCTGCTCTGGGCTCTGGGCTGCTCTCCCTTCATGAGTGGGCACAGAGTCCCAGCGCGCTGGAATGGATCCCCAATAAATCCCCTTTTGCCAATTGCATGGAGTAAGTCTCTTGTGTGGTCTCTCCCTCCGATGATCCGCCGGACCCCCCTTACAGTTGCACTAATTTTCAGTCCCACCAGCAGTGTATGAGTGTACCTTAGAAGCGATGTTTTAACATACACAAATCAATAAAAGTAATTCACCACAAAAATAAAATCTGGGAGTTGGGATTGTGGCTCAGTGGTAGAGCACTTGTCTAGCACACGTGAGGCACTAGGTTTACTATCCAGTACCCCATTAAAAAAAAAAAAGACAAAATAAAAATATTGTGAACATCTAAGACTAAAATTATTTTTTAAAAAAATAAAAATAAGGGGAAAAATCTTAGTCATCTCAATATACGCAGCAGTAGGCTTTGACAAAATCCAGCCCCCATTCATGACAAGAACACTGAAAAAGGTGAAGACCGAGGAATCTGTCTCAACATGATAAAGGCCATGTACCACAAACCCAACATCGCAGTGAATAGAGGAAAACTGAAAACATTTTCTCTAAATCTGGAACAAGGATGCTCACGCTCTCATTCTTATTCAATATGGTACTAGAAATTCTAGTCAGAGTAATTAAGCAAGAGAAGGAAATGGGCAAAATTAGGAAAGAAAGAAGTAAAGTCATCACTGCAAGTGATATAATCTTAACTGAGAAGACCACCACCAGAAGTTCCACCAGAAGATTGTTAGAGCTAATAAATAAATTGAGCAAAGTAGGACTGGGGTTGTAGTTTAGCGGTAGGTAGAGCGCTTGTCTACACAGGTGAGGTACTGGGTTCAATCCTTAGCACCACGTAAAAATAAATAAAGTAAAGGTTTTGTGTCGAACTAAAAAATAAATAAATAAAATTTTTTTTTTAATTCAGCAAAGTAACCGGTTACAAAGTGAATATACAAAAACCAATGGCTCTCTTGTACACCAATAATGAATCTGCAGAGAAGACATGGGGGACGTCAATTCCACTCAAAATAGCCCCTTGTAAACAAAATTTTAAAAACAAATAAACGTAACCAAGAAAGAAAAAAATCTCTATAAGGAAAATATGAAACACTGAATATGGAACAGTTCTGAAGAAACGAGAAGGTGGAAAGACCCCCACGTTCATGGATAGGAATAATTAATACTGTCAAAATATTCACACCATGAAAGGCACTATATAGATTCAGTGCAATCCCCATGAACATACTAAGTACTTTACTAACGAAAACTGCGTGATACTTCTTTTAGTCGGCTTTTTTGCTATGTGACTATATTTTGGATCTAACCAGAACAGCTATGGAGGAGGAAAAGTTTATTTGAGGGCTCATGGTCTCAGGGGTCTTAGGCCCAAGAAGAGTGGCCAGTTCCTTGGGGCACCAGGTAGAACATAGTGGAGGGAGAGTGTGGCAGCGGGAAGTAGCTTACATAGTGATCTGAAAACAGAGAGTCTCCTTTGGCCAGATATAAATACATACCCACAGCCATGCCCCAGTTCCCATACAATCCAGACACACCCTACCACTTCAGTTTCCATTCAGTTAATCCCTATCAGGGGATGAATTCACTGATCGGGTCAAAATTCTTACAACCCAATCATTTCTCCTTGAAACCTTCAAGCACTGGCTCACGTGTGAGCTTTTGGGGGACACCTCACATCCAAACCATAACAGTACTGGCAAAAAAACAGGCATAAGGACCAAAGGTACAGATTAGAAGACACGGAGAAAAACCCACTTACATACGGTTATCTGATCCCTGACAAAGATGGCAAAACCAGACACTGGAGAAAACACAGCCCCTATAACCAGTGGTGCTGGGGAATTTTGTTACCCATATATAAAAGAAAAATGAAACTAGACCCTTTCTCCCATCCTGCACAAATTCAAATGCGATGGATCAAAGACCTGGGAATCAGACCAGAAGCTATGAAACTCCAATAAAATGCAGGGTCTGAGGCATGATGTGGGAGCCCCAGGCAGTGAGGACATGCATGACATGAGATAAAACAGTGGCTGAGGACACAGCATCCAGTACAGTTTCTAAAGGGAAACCTCTGCTCAGAGACACTGATATAGCGTTTGTGTCTAGGAAAGAAAGGCATAAGTGCTTCTTTTAAAAAATTAATATTTTCTTCATTACTTTCTATCTTCATTCCTTCTGTTAGAAATGGCAGCTGTCCTGAGCAATAAGACACACCTTGGAGGTAGCTGAGCAAGGCCAACTTTACTTCAGCAGAAGGCATGCTACCAAACAAAGTCTGGCAAGCAAGCACACCTGGTTTGGCAGGCAATCTACCTTATTTATCCCTGACACAGCACTGACCCTTGCTCTGCAGAAGGAGCTTGGGTCAAGATCAACACAACTGGCTAATTTAAAATTACAGAAGGGAAAGACTATAGTTAGGTCTGGATCACTCAGGATACTACAGCATTATGATTGGAAGTCTGAAAATAAAGGAGGATTATAGCTGGGGGTGTGACCAGGGCCCGGGTATACACTCCTGCCCACATGTGGATACATGCTGTACATGTTGGGCAGTTCACAATGGCTACACTTGAAGAAAAAAAAAAACAACAATACATTTTTGATTGTAGATGGACACAATACCTTTTATTTAGTTGTTATGTAGTGCTGGGGATCAGACCCAGGGCTTCACACTTGCTAGCTACACAAGTGCTCTACCACAGAGCTACAACCCTAGCCCCACAATGGCTACACTTTAACCATAAGGTTTATAAATGAAATTGGCTCTACCTAACTATACATTGTGAAATTTAACCTTTATAGACATTTTTTTTTAAGTCACATATTAGGAAACTCAGACTACAGATCAACTTTTATTTTTTTCCTTTGTCTTTGGTGGTGCTGGGGAATGAACCTGGTGCCTCCAGCATGCTAGACAGGGGCTCTACCACTAAGCTACTGCCCCAGTCCTACAGGTTTAACTCTGACAGGAAAGAATATTAACCTTACACTTCCTTCCTTCATTTTTCTCTTCATAAGTCCTTTTAAAGTAAAGTTCCAGATGATTCTAGTCTTTCTACTCACAGGAAATATTCACCCACAGTTAAAAAAACAAAAAACAAAAAACAAACAAACAAAAAAAAAAAAAAAGGAGGACTCTACCACTACTCAGGCTCCACAAATACTTCAAGTCAAACTGGCAATACATTCTATGCAAAGGCAGTTTTGAAGGAAGATAGAATGGTTTGTTTCTATTTTTCATCTTCAGATAACTAAAATGACAGAAAAGAAAACATATGAGAAAAGGCAGCAAAGTGAGAAAGAACAGGCAACAAACGTGCAGATTTACTCACCTCGACAGAGCCCAAGTCGTGACACTCAGCAGCTGGAGAAGGAGCAGCTCTCTCAGGCCCAAGGGTAGTTCAGAGGCAGAGCAACCTGGAAAAGGTAGGAGTGACCCTCAATTTCAGCCTATTTCAGGAACTGGAATATTATGGATTTGCTGCCAGCCCTAAGGAGGCCCAGGTATTGGAGGGAAGATGGGTTGGAGACCCTGCTTCCTGCACATTTGGAATAGTGTGAACAGGTAAATTCACTACTCCTGGGAGAAATAAAGGGGACTGAATAAAATAAAATCAATCAACAGGGAGGGCTAGGGTTGTGGCTCAGTGGTAGAACACTTGCCTAGCAAGTGTGAGGCCCTGGGTTCAATCCTCAACCCCACATAAAAATAATAAATTCCATCTACAATTAAAAAATAAATAAATAAATAAATATACAGGGACTCCACATGCCACTCCTGCATTACACAGAACCCCAACTGATTCCAGAATCCCTGAAAACTTCCTGTGACTACTGTATACACACACTAGAGACCTGGCCTGTGGGAGCTGGCCCAAGGCCTAAAATAGACTGCACCCTGCAAGACACAGGGTAGCTCCGGACAGTGCTGACCTCAACCCAATAGGACAAACCAGAGGTTGAGGACACACCACCCTGTCAAGTTCCTAAAGGGACTTTTTGCCCAAAGTCATTGATGAGGGAGGGGTCTGTGTCTAGGGATGATAAGAACCAGAAGAAGCACAAAACGAACCCCTCCCTCTTGTAACATGGGTCCATTTTAAGCTTCAAAATAACCCTGTCACTGCAGTTTTTAAAAACTGACATTTTTTTTTCCCTTTCTCTTCTCCCTTTCCCCCTTCCTAACCTTGGGGAAGCAAGACTACCCTTCTTCCCATCCTAGGCCAAGTTCCCTGTCCTTGAGCACACACACCAGACGTCTGCAGGGATGATGCCAGAAGAACTGAGAAACAGCCATCTACCAAGTCTATGAGTGAATTATGGCCCCCAACAGGGCACCCTGGGATGCAGTCTTTGAACCACCTCTTTAAAAGTTCTCTGTTTCCCCCAGGGGACAGAACCACAGACTCTGAAACAGTAGTCCCATGTGTTTCTTTTTTGAAAGCAAAAAAAAAAAAAGATCTTATTTTTCTTTTTTTCCTCAGAGTCATGTCCTTGTTACTAGACTGGCATTGGGAACAAATACAAACAAGCTTTTTAATAACTAACTGGAGTCCAGAGAAGGGTCAACAGCAGCCCCAGCTCTGGCTTCATGGGCAGGTCTGGTACTTTGGGCAACCCCCTTCCATGCTGAGACCTAAGCATCATAGTATGTTCCCCATACCAAGGGAAAAAAGCATGGAAAGGGCCTCCTCCATGGAATATCAATACGCCTACTATAAGAAAAAATCCAGAAAGCACCTCTGGGTACAAATGACAGTGGGGAACACACTTAAAGTTGATGGCTAGTAAGGGATAAGGGATAATAATAAATAAGCCAGGTCAGACTCAACAATGACTTGTATTAAAACCCCTTGAATGCAACATAAAAAAAAATTAGGTACACTTCCTTTTATGTTCATTTGTTTTTTGGTACTGCAGATGAAACCAAGGGGCACTGAACCACTGAGCTCCATTCTGGGTCCTTTTTACATTTCATTTCAAGACAGGATCTCACAAAGCTGATTAGGGCCTTGCAAAATTGCTGAGGCTAGTCTCAAACTTACATCTGCCTGCATTACCTTGCCTTGATGGGATTACAGGTATGTACCACTGCACCCAGTTTAGCACAGCTTTTCTATGTGCTGGATTGCCCAATCTCTCTCCTAGGACAAGATTGGTTTTGTGAATTAAATCCTATTGGGGTGAGATGGTTATCACACCCAAAAAGCAATGACTTCATATAAAAGTGCCAACAGAACAAATGCTCTGCTTTCAGTTTCAATCAAGGAAAAGGAAATTACCTGATCTACTGGAGGTCTAGGAAAAAAGCCATTAAGGCTGAATGGAGCCTTCGAAGTGCAACCAATGTTATCCCAACCAGCTTTTGTTTAGGAGTTGGTAACTCATCCCAGGAATAAATAACATCCCCTTTTAAGAGAAGGCACTGATGGACATCCATTCTCTTCTGGACAAAATTTTAAAACACAGATTTTCCACCCTATAATGCATCTATTCTGCAGAGAGCTAAAAATAATATTGCTTAGAATATTCAGCCCACAATACCAAGTCCACAAACCCTACTGGCTCTGATGCCAGGCAACTAAGGCTGATTCATGATGCTAGACTTAAAGGATATATTCTTTTGCATTCTTCTGGAAAGGATATCCCAATTATTACTTGCTTTTTAGTGGCAGGGACCTGATACCAATGTTGCCTCCTTGCTGGACCATCCTACCCCAGGGATTTAAGACCTATTCTACTGTTTAATGTGAATCTAAAAAAAGACCTGTGAGAGTTACAGCCATATCAAAGAAGGCTTTTAAAATATGTGGATGATCTGCCTATAGCCAGTCCAACCATGAATACTGCCTTTAAACACTAAAGCTGCTGTAATCTATCTTGTCCCATGCGGATATGTGGTATCCACTAAAAAGTCTCAGTTTTGTAAACAGGTTGCCATCTGGGATTCTAGATTATCCAATAGACCCCAAGTTGATGTCAGGCTGCAAGCAGGCTCTCTTTTGAGAGTTAGAGAAGTCAGGAACCAGATTGCTATATGGGTGTCTGGGAATGTCAGGACTCTGCCATGTTTGTGTTTCTAATTTTGGACTAATGTGGCGAAAGACCTGAAAGTCTTTTCCATGATAGATGCAGGTCAGGGTCACTCATAAAAATCTGCCCTAAATGGCTTTTTTACTGAGAGTCCCCGACTCTCTTAGGACGATTTGGGCTGTTTTTCCCCCCAACTTAGCAGAATGAGGGCATTGCTACCTGAGGGTAACTTAAATTTTCAAACTTAGACAGCAAAGCAACATAACCACAGACTCCATCAAGGCCTATCTCAGCTTTCACTAGATGCTGTAAGATTCTCTATTTTTGTTTTGTTTTGTTTTGTTTGGGGTGTTTTTTTTTTCTTCTGATTCTAAAGTGGAACAGAAATAGAATCTTGGAGTCCATAATGCCAAGGCCATTCAAGAAGTTAAAACAAAGCCATGTCAGAGCCCTTAACTTGGTCCCTGCCTGATTTACAAAAGGTGTTCTGCTGAGAGCCACAGCCAAGTCGGAATGGCCCCTGGCATTTTGCCAATAGTATTGGTTGAGAGGCGAGCCATTAAGATGATGCTGGATTGATTCAATTGTATATTAGACCTTTACTGTCCGTCTGGACCCGTGACTTTGGAGTTCTCAAGCTACTCTGGAGTTCTCACGGGGATTCCTGGAGAGTTCGAATTGGTTGGGGAAGTGCCGGAGGAGGGATTTCCGTGTGGTGTGTCCCCGGAGAAGGCCGCATGCGTGGCGTTCTTGGGAGTTCGGAAATAAAGTTTGTTCCTGCTTCAGTGGCTTGTAATTTGTGCCCAGCCAGACTGCAGCAGTGTTCAGACTAGTAAAATAATGTCCAACTCTTACAGTTCTCTTAGACACTGGGAGACATGCTGTGACTAGGATGCCATCTGTCAAAACAGCTGGACCACACAGCAGAAGGCAGAGTACTGCCTGCTGGAAACATGGGGAGAGAGCAGGCCAGCCTGTTGGATGATCCAGATGCCAACTGCACATCACACTCACACCTCTCCTGAATGGGAACAACACAAACACTTTCGTACTGAGGAGAATGAGAAATGAGTCAAAAAAAAAAAGGGGGTTCTGACTCCTAGGATAGAAGTGCCAGGTGGAGACAAAGTTGTCATGGGCTCCTCCTCCTGCCTGCACAAGCCTGGCCCCTGGCAGAGCACCTACATGAGTACTTGCCATGGGAAAGAAGCCTTGCTGACCTTCAGCAAGTCCCAGCTGGGGAGGCCATGCAGCCACCAGACCTCAGCAAGTGTATCAGAACTTTGCTGTGCACCAGAACAGTTCAAAGACTAAATGGCAGCCCATGTAAAAGAGCATGAGATGTAAAAGGGCACAGGACATGAAATAACTCAGGCTTTTGTAGACTGACAGGTATGGAGTACCATCGGAAATGTCAGATATCTGATGTACTGGTAGATAGATACCTTCTCTAGGTGGGTCAAGGTTGATTCTTCCAGAACAGAAAAGTCTTTAGAAATACCTAGAGTACTTTTGAAGGAATTGATTCTGACGAGATGATGGACAATCTCACTGCAGAACTGACTTAACAAGGGAACAAACATTGAATGGCCAATGAAAGTTACATGCATCCTGGAGACCCCAATCTACATGGAAAACAGAGAAGGTAAATCAACCTTTAAAAACACTGTGACTAATATATGCCAAGAACCCACCTGCAATGGGATATGGGGTTGCCAACTGCTCTTGATTTAAATCAAGCCCAGAAATACTATGTTAGAGACCTTGCTGGTATCCTGTGGAAGGGCAAAACATGGCTCTCACAAAGAGACCTAGACTAAAACAGCATTATGACAATCAGTCAAATATTTATTAATTGCTGTAGTGAGTGGGCTTTCTCCAGGTCCCCATTAAGGTTCAAGTCACCTCTTCATCTGCTCCAGGGAAAGTCCCAAAAAGGAAAATGACACTCCATTCTAAGACACCATTCATCACCCAGCTTCAGGAGCAAACAGCTTAGGGATGTTGTAGCCCATTTCTCCACAGAAATGGGAGATAGAAATAGACAACAGGAAATGTATCGGGGTCCACTTCATGCTGTGAACATAACCTTGTGGCTTAACTTAAATATATCAGAGATCCATTTCATACTGAACATAACCCAGTGGCTTATTTTAAATCTGACAATTTTTTTTCCCCACTTTATCTTCTCCCTTTCCCCTTCCATAATCTTGGGATGATAGATTGCCATACTTCTCATCTTAACAGGAGTTAGCTGTCCTTGAGCTCACACAACACGGGAACCATGTAATTCAGACTTGCAACAGTGCCACAATATCTAAGAAACAGCCATCTCCCAAGTCTATGAGTAAATTATGAAACCTTACAGGGCACACTAGAATGCAGCCTCTGAATCACCTCTTTGTAACCTTCTGCTCCCCTCACATGACAGAATCACAGCCTCTGAAACTGGAGTTCCCAGTTTCTCCTCTGCTGGCAATGCAATAAATCTTTTTCTTTTTTTCCTCAAAACTATCCTCATTATTGGACTGCCACTGGGACATTGCCTGAAGTTTCAGTACCACTGTGTCTATATGCTGACTCGACAGTTCCATGAGTACAAAATTTATGAAGTGTTAGCACATGGGAACAAAAGTGAATGAAACTGTCAACATAAAAAACAAACTTGAACAACTCAAGTCCCATAAGAACAGGGGAATACCAAGGTTGGACACTGCTCAAAAACACTGGCCCACTTTAGGAGCCAGATGCAAGGCCAGAGGGCCAGCCACCCTGCTGAGAGCAAGTAACCACAAACTGGGACTCCAATTACCCCCTCCACAAGTTCAATGATTTTATTTTTAGCAAAGCACATCACTTATGTTTAGTTACTACAAATGATAAGACTTAGAACTGCCAAAAGGAAAAGAAACTGCCAAAGGGAATCCTAGGAAAGAACTATAAATGAAGAAATCTCCCTCCTCTGCATTCTGCTAGAGCAGTTCCTGCACAGACACCCCCTCCCCATTATGACTCAGAAGATGCTCCCTTATTAACCCATGGCAGATACACACCGTGATCCAGAAAATCCCTCCCCTCTTTTTCTCCTAATAAGCAATTAGCTGAACAAATTTCTCTTCAGGGATCAGAACAATTCCTTGTTAATCAAACTGGGCTGAAGATTCTCTCCTTCCTCAAGGACTCTGAAATTTGACTCACTGGCAGCTGAACACAACATAGGACCCCTATTCCTGGCCCCTCCATAGAACAGGCTCACTTCCAGTGAAACATCCTCTGACCTGGGATCTGACCTGCCCCCCTCCTCACTACCCTCCCCTCCAGCTTCTTCCTAACCCTGTTTGCCCCTCCCTGGGAAAGCAGCCCTTTTCTGCAGGAGCTGTGGGTGCTTGCAGAGCTCACCTGTAGTTCTCCCCCCTCCTGCAGTGCTCCTTAGAATAAGGCGCTTATCACCCAAATCTGCACTTGTTTCATTGGACAGTCTGTGAACAACCCTGGACAATATCAACTGCACTCTCAGAAATGGCTTCTCCTTATCCTTTCCATCCAGTCCCCCATCAGATCTGTCTGAGGACCCCAGATTTCCAGAGCTCTAGAGCTTCTCAGTCTAAAGGGCTCCTTCCAGGGTTGGTGTGAGCAGCCTAGGCCTCTGCAGGGGAGGCTGCCCAAAGAGCTCTGACTGGACCTTCAGTGACCTCCTTTTGCAGGATCACATCTGGCCTTGGATTATACTTACTGGGATTAAAGATCTCTTCTTCTCAGTCACCTTTTCAATAGTACAGACTTGGTGTTTAAAGAACCCAGTAAAAACACTCATACTCTGTGTTTATGTTCATAGGAGAAAAAATTTTAAGCCACTTACATTTAATACTTCAGTAGGAAAATCAAATTTACCCATCTTGCTTAGAAAACGAACATGTTATTTAATTACTATTTCCAATATAACATTTGGTAATCAATCATCACAGGTGACTGCTGGGAAAGAAAAACACTACCAAACAAGTTTTAACTAATGGAATAAAAGAAGAAATGTTTCTTTGTTTTTTGTCTGGATCTTTCTTTTTCCCCCTGACTTATACCTCGATCTTGCCCTTTAGGAATATTTCCTAATCTTTCAGCTTTATTAATAAGTTACATTTTACAATTAATGAAACACTGAAGCTAAAATAAGTGAACAAGTCTAACTAAGACAACAAACCCGGGGAGTTGCAGCACCACTGGACACTGACCTGTCACACTCCAGTTTCAAGTCAGGCTTCTGTCACCAGGAATGTCCTCCCACCCCCTCCTGCTGCTTGAAGACCTTTGTAGGGTTTTCCTTCACCTTCCTGGGGCCACTTTTCCCTCCTCTTTGAGATAACTGTTCTTCCTTCCAGCTCTGAGAATCCAGAGGGCAGGAACCATGTCTGTCATGTTCCCTCAACACCAGCATTTCACTGCCTGACCTGGGTATCTCCAGCTGCTCCCCTCAGAATCTGCAGTCTACACCTCAGTCGGTCCTCTAGGAGGAGCTGACCCAGGGCCTGAAATTACCTGCACACTGTCAGGCACAGGATGGCTGTGGGCACCATTTGGAAGCCTCAGGAAAAAAAACAGGAAAGTACCTAAGGACACGGGACCCTAAAAGTGGCCTAAAGACACTGCAAAGGTGTCTCTTCCTGGGCAAGATCAAGAGAGGCATAAGTAGTTTTTACACTCAAATTCCAGGTCATTCCTCTCTGCTTTGCACTCCTGGGAGACATGCAGATACATAAAAATAAAAACAGACAAAACTACCACAAGACAAACAAAAAACCCTTTAAAAACTGCCAGTACTCAGTGAAACTATGACCATTAAAACACTCTCCACTTGAATGCAGTCTTGGGAACAAATGTTGACACAGTGTGCCCTGGTGAGTGTGAGACACATGCTCACCTGTTCAACCCAAAGAATGGTCTGCAACATTCAGTAGAGCAGGAAGCGAGGCATTTGCAAGATGTGGCACAGCCACAGCTGTGACAATCAGCATTTCATCCTAGGGCAGAAGGTCCCTCCCCCAGTTCCTCATTAGCTGAGGACTTGGGGTGGGCAGTGTCCTCTGAATGTCAGCTAGGTTTTACTGTCTCCTATTGGGTTAAAGAAATGCACCTTTTCTTGCCCCACCTCCCTCTGTTCTCTGTGGCAGGAAGGTCTTCTTGGGTGAATGTATTTTGGCACACAGTTCTTCTTTACCCAGTTACTATTTCTAAACAGAAAGTTTCTACCTCTGTTGGTACAGATTGCCCCTTGCCTGACCTCATTTGTCAAGAGCTGTTTAGGTGCAGAGACTTTGATCTTCCATATCACAGGCAGTGGTGCTGTTGTGTGTTAACAGCTTGTAACCTTCCATCCTGCTCTTCTTACCCTCAGGATACCATTCTTACATCCCAATTTTACATTTATATTTAAATACTGTATTCAGAAAATGAACCCTTGACTTTCTATTTCTCACAAGATGCAGTTGGCATGAGGAATGCTAAGAGAGAATTGGAATTTTAAGGATTTGCTGCCAGCCCTTGGAGAAGTGGGGTTCTAGAATGGAAAACTGGTTTGAGATCCTACTTCCTGCACATTTGGAAGTGTCTGTGGGGAGTACAAGTTACTTCTGTCCAGAAAGGAGGGTCGATGGGGCCCCACTGGGGCCCCACTGCCACACTCAGAACACATCTGAAGATCCCATGACACTCTCCTGGGCTTGCGGTCACAATGGAAACTTGGGGACAGGGGCTGTGGCTCAGTGGCAGAGCGCTTGCCTGGCATGTGTGAGGTACTGGGTTCAATCCCAGCACCACATATAAAGACAAAAATTTCTAAAATTATTATTATTTTTTTAATGGAAACTTGGCAGCCTAAGCGCTCACAGGCTATGGCGTAGCACTCTGACACAACAGCAGCTCTGTGTACTGACTTTTAACCTCAGGGTCGTGAAGAACCCTCCGTAGCAAAAGGGAAATTAAAACAACTGGGACTGAAGAACTCCCCTTTAGTCTTAGTGCAGTAAAAGTCCCTAAGTTGTGTGAGCTGAGTCCCTAGATTGAGGACAAGCTTGAGCCCTTACAAAGAGGGCATAGCGTGGGTCCTCTAATAGAACCAACTCCCTGGACCGGAGTAACCCAGAGCTGTTACGTCTGAAAGTAAAGGCCCTGCTGAGCCGGGGGCTCGGACTGCGGAATTGACCCCCAGGCCCTGGCGCCCCTAAAGCGTGCTGCTTCCAGATCTCGGGTCCTAGCGCTCGTTTCCCACGACGTGCTCACCGCGCTCTCTGGGATCGGCTGCCCAGGGATGACCTAGGAGGTCGCCAACAGGGAGGGGTCAGGGACCAGCCCCGCGGGCCCAGGGGTGAGGGGCCCAGCGCCACCTGCCAGCCCGGACTCGGCCACACGCAGCAGCTCACCCGCAGGCTGGATCCCCACGGCAGGTGCGGACAGGGTGCCGCCAGTCCTCTGCACACACTAACCGGTGGGCCTCCAGGAGGACTCACCGTCCTCCCGGGGCTCACAGGCAGCGCAGACGCACCGGGGATTCGAGAGCAGCGGATGCTTGACTTGAGGAGGAAGGACCGGATGTAGTGAGGAAGAAAAGCCCTAGACATTGCATAAGCCCGCCCTTCCTGTCTATCTGTGCACCTGATTGGACAGACCTACCCCAGGTACAAGCATTATGGAGTGACAGTTATGTCATCCTATCCTTGGCTGAAGTGGGCCAGAGTGACAGGTACTTGGCCCAATCCTTTTCAAGCAGGATTTCCTTGCCCTGTTGGAACCTGATCCTCCCAGGAAACTTCTCTATTTCGCCTGGTGTAGAAGACGATTTTTAAGTAGGACAACGAGTGTCCACGATATATAAAAATAAGTGTGCTGTTCACGGCTGAAAGTTTGAGAAATAGACAGTCCAGTGATCCATTTTCAGAATACAGTTTTTGCTTTAAATGAAAAATGAGAGGACGTAGGAAAGGCAGCTGGAGGGGAGAGCTGGGTGGAAGGTACAGGCAGGTCCCGGGTGAAAATTCAGGGTCCTGACGAACAGGAGGTGAGAAAAGTCCCCACTAATCACCAAGGATAATGTACAACAGATAGCTAGCTCCTTTACCTCAGAGTTGGAAAATGGAAGATGGAGGTGAACCCAGATGGAAGTTACAAGAAAGAGGGTGGTACTCAGGATGCATTTTCTTTTCTTTTTTTTTTTATTTGTTCTTAGCTATACATGACAATGGAATGCACTTTGACATATTATACATATGTGGAGTACAACTTCCCATTTTTCTCATTGTACATGATGTGGAATTAATTACATTTGTTGTGCATTCATATATGTACATAGGAAAGTGATCCATTCGTTCTAAGATATTTCCTATTCCCTTCTCCCCTCCCTTCTTTACGGTCCCCCAGAATGCCTTTTCCTTAACCACTTCACAAATATTGTCTTTCATGCACTGACCAGAACCTGAAATGAGTTTTTCTGCTATCAGTCCCCCCTCCCCCAATGGTGAGTGTTCTATTTCTTGACACTTAAATAAACGCAGCTGCTTTAACTCTTCCTTTCCGTGATTGCCCTTGAATTTTTTTTTCCCATGGACTTTATTCTTCAAAATTTGCAAAAACAAGAACCCAGAACAAAGGCTGTAATGGCGGGGGCGGGCGCGGGGCGCTGAGGCAGGAGGATCAAGAATTCAAAGCCAGTGTCAGTAATGGTGAGGCTATACAACTCAGTGAGAACTTGTCTCTAAATAAAGTTCAAAAATGGGCTGAGGGGCTGGGGTTGTGGCTCAGTGGTAGAGTGCTTGCCTAGCATGCTTGAGGCACTGAGTTTGATCCTCAGCACCACATAAGTGTAAAATAAAGATATTGTGTCCACTTAAAATTAAAAAAATGAACTAAAAAAAAAAAAAGACCGGGATGAATGCTCAGCTCTCTATTCAGGAATGAAGTTTCACGCAGGAACAGGGAATGCATGGGTGAAATGATGCCATGGGACCCACTTTCCTGGTGGAAAAATGAGCTCCGAAAACAAAGAAAGGCCCTGGGCTTATATAGGTTATCCTATGAGTTGACTATCATGAGCAGCGCTATTGATAATTACTTGTAGGCTGGTTGTCTTTGAACTCAAGTGTGTATTTTATCACACCAATCATCAAACATAAACAATTAATGCAAAAGTTGTTGGGTGTGCTGGGGCATCCCACATAGCACTCAACACACACTAATTAAACACTATATGTAAATCATTCCATACTAGGGCAATTAAACATGACAAACATATTACAGAATCCTAGGGCAACCACAAGCCCCAAAAGTACCTTTGATACCATGTGACTTCTCTTAGTGGAAGAGCAGAAGATGATGCTGTCTGGTGGTTCTCTCCAGCCAGTGGTTGGATATCACAAAATGGAAGAGTTGATCTGGGGATGAACACCAAGGTGGCCAGTCTCACTGGTGTCCTCAGTGAAGCTCTTCAGTGTGGGAAGCAAGCAGTTTAAATACCATTCCAATGAGGGAAATGGGAAAATAAACATGGAGAGTAATGAATTACAGTAGATGGGGTAGAAAGAGAAGATGGGAGGGGAGGGGAGGGGGGATAGTAGGGGATAGGAAAGGTAGCAGAATACAACAATTACTAATTGGGCATTATGTAAAATTGTGGATGTGTAACCCACGTGATTCTGCAATCTGCATTTGGGGTAAAATTGGGAGTTCATAACCCACTTCAATCTAATGTATGAAATATGATATGTCAAGAGCTTTGTAATGTTGTGAACAACCAATAAAAAAAATAATTTGGTAAATAAAAGTTTCAATTACAAAAAAAAAATACCATTCCAAGTTGGTGATGTATGTTGGTGATTGGTTAAACCCAGTGAACTATGTCCGTTACGTCTAGTGAGATGATGTAATTGCAACTGGGCATGTTCTTTGTGCTTGTCCATGGAGCTGTGTTCCCTACCAATTGTAACTAGTCATAGCTAAGCATGGTCTATGGCTAGTGCTCCTTATAGCTCCTTATCAATTGAAAGCAGATATGACTAAGAATGCCAATGGCTGCTGTTCCTTATGGCCAGCAACTTATTGAGTCCCAGCATTGTAGGGAACAGAAGAGGCAAGGCACCGAAGATAGCAGGAAACAGTTTTATTTGGCTGCAGCCAGGTTCAGAGGGCACAACTTTAGCTGTAATTCATTAATCCCCTGAGCCTTGAGTTCAGGTAGTTTCAGAACTTTATACCCAGCATGTAAGGAGAGGAGCTTAGAAGTTCACAGTCTACAGAAGTTCACATAAAGTAGCTTTCCACATAAAGCAGTGAAAGTTCTGGGCAAGTTAACCTTTCAAGGACAACACCTGAGAAGGGGCGAGCTTTTTCTCCTCTTTCCTTTTTCCACCTGTCAGTTGTTACCATGGAGCCCAATTGGTAACTTATCTTAGAAATGTAGACACCTCTGTGAAGCCCAGATCCAGGTTAGAGGCCTTGTTAAAAGATCTTTCATTTTAAATCATACTTTGCATTTGCAAACACACTTCTTCAAACTACTATACTGGATGATTGTGAAAAACTAGTAAGGGAGCATCCAGCACTTGGAGTGCTGCTTTCTTCCAGGCCAGTGGCCAAATAAAATAGAGCAATAGGAAGATAGGAAGTTTAACTACATTGATCTCTTGTTTAGAGACTCTTTTGCTGACAGTCCTAAAATCAGTCATGGTGAAGATTTCTGGAGAAGCCCAGTTAAGATTTTCTGTGGAGAAGGGGGTGCCACTATAATTCTCCCCTTTAATACTGCTTCTCATAACTTAATCCTTTAAATTAAAGAGCATCATTATGATCATCTTGGCTTAAAGCCTTATATAATACCAAAACCTTAGTTGTTCTCCTTTCAACAGCGGCTTCTATAGTGGATCCAATAGTTTTAATGCACAGTGGAGCCAAACATGGGAGCAAAACACAGGTTAACAGCAGAATACCCACTATACAAATTAAGCTTTTAAATCTATCAAGAGTTGAAAACCATCCCCCAAAGCATATTTGGGTCCCAAATTTTAATGCCCTTCCAGGTCTGAACTGGCACGTGTGCTAGTTTTCTTATGTTGGCTATATCTGTAACTGCTTGACTATTGTCATCTATTTGGATGCAACAATCTGAACTGTTGATCCGTCCACATATTCCTCCTTCTTCAGCCAGTAGGTAATCTAATGCTAAGCAGTTTTGATAGATAGCTGCTCACATCTGGGTCTGCTGTGTGGCTATGTGGTCAAAGCCTGTGGCAGTCTGATTAGTAATAATTTCTAGTATAGCTTGTAAGTGGATAATTCTGTTCAACATGCAAATAGGAATCCTAGAGCTCCAACTGCCATCGTGTGCCCGGGTAGCAGGAGCATAAGTGGCAATAATCCTCTGGGGTGGTCACTCATCTTTACCCCAAGATTGGTGACCTCCCAGATCAAGCCCTTGCCCAGTGGATCTCTTTTTTCTTGGCCCTAGATCCTCATCAACAGGATCCCTAGGTCTTTTCCAGTTGCATTGGGCAGTAGGGAAAACCCAGGTTTAATAGTACAAACAGTGCAGGTCCCCCTCCAGTTTGTTGGGAGTTGGGTATATGCCACAAATCCAAAATAGTACATCAGATGCTTTCCAGTTAGAGGGAGCCAGATTACTCCAGAATTTATGGATGCCATAAAAATACTGATTCTGTTAGTGTCTGGAAACATACAGTTAAAAAGAATTTGTTTCTTATGGGGCTTTTTGCATATTAGGCCCTAATCCCCAGGGTTATCTTCCCCAAACCAAGTAGATTACTCTGGCTAATGGGTGGAATTCCAAAACAATATTTTATTACCTGGGGTTTCACTGACCCATAGGGTGTGGTGGGGTCTAACTCTGCCAATACATTTTTCACCAAATCTTAGCCTTGGGGCCTTTTACTCTTTAGTTCCTGGGACTTATTATACAGAAGTAGAAAATAAGTATCTAGACTTATTCTTGTCCAGAGCCATTCTTCACTCATGAGGGCCCTTCCCCAGATCCAACAATTTTTAACCCCAAGGTTTTTACAATTCTTTTTTGATAGGTCCAGAAAGAGACTTTTTTTCTAAGGGAGGAAGTTTGAGATTTGGGCTTAACTCCTCATGTAGTTTAGAATTAGGTTTAGGGCTTATGGTAGGTCTCAGGGAAGTTGGTTTTGGATCACTTTTTATAAATTTCTTGCATGTCAGCAACTGGGAGTCCAGTGGCCAGCAATACCAAATTCCACTGGTAAAGGGGAAATTTATTGGACAAGTTATACTCCCCTTATATTGAGATTCAATCCAAGCCATGTGGACTCTTTTTCCTTTTCAGAGACAAAGAGTCATCCATCTATAGCATTCCTCTGGTGGGACAGGTCCTAAATATATGTTTTTTTTTTTTTAACCACCTCTTGGTTATAGTAGATTAGCTTGACACATGGTTCACGGGATCTCCACTGTTGGGGTAGGAGTAGGCCAAGCCCCTCAAGATTATCAAAGGAAACCACACTAAATGATAGACTAACATTTTGGTTAACATAGGTTAAACAGTGTAAGTTAACAAAATGAAACTAATAACACCAAACAAA